CGTTTTTCAAGAATAGTTTAAGTTGCATTTAAAAAAATTATGTTACAAATCGTTGAATTAAGGTAATAAACACAATTTTTTCGTTTTTCACGTACTTCGAAACGTAAAGGGTTCGACGCATACGTTTCGAGTGAAATTATCTTCTATAAACTGTAATGTAATCGCCCGTCCGTTCCAATTCTTTTTTATGTATTAACGTCCAATTGTATTCGTCAAATTTAGCATCGAGTGGCATTGGATCCGATAAACGATCTTCATTTTCTTGAGGTCCAATGACAAAAATAAAGTTTCCTTTGTAATTTTCGATATAATAGCAAAATGCTGATGCATTATTAAAATAACAAAATAGAAAAGCATGTTTGTCTAATAAAAACATACTATTCGTGTCACTTTCACTAATAAAAACGATATTCTTTAAAAATAAGGGTGGAGAATATTTACTGCACCACCATGAACGATCTAGTTCTACGCCAATCACGTCTAAACCTTAAATAAAATAATCGATTACAGAAACTTTTTTCAAGCTATGTACTACAATGTATCGTATGAATAGCTTACCAGAATACTTTTTGAATAACCATTCTAATAAACCACATCCACAACCTATGCTTACTAGTCCGATCAAATTGTATTTTTCAATTAACTCTTGTATCCAACGTAAATCGTTAAAAGTTGGTAGAACCCAGAATAATTTACTTTTATCTGTTTTATTTAGAATACATTTTAAACGAACAATATCCTCCCACTTCTCTTCGCTGTAAAGCGTTAGAATTTGCTCGTCGATATTTTCGTTAGCCATAACTTTTAATATAATAACGAGGAAGTATGTTTAAGTTAGCTCTAACGAAACGCTGACTCAATTGAGGAAACATCTGCGCAACGATTATTAATAGTCCGTAAAATTTTCAAACGGAATCCTTGAATTATGTAATTCGGTGATATACATATCTGTATTGATAATATATCGATAATGATTATAGCGTATCTGCAGATAAACTTTGCAAGTCGGTAACGTAAAATTACATACGTGTTCTCCATATGATGTTACTGGATAGAAAATGTCATTCACGGTAGTTCGATATTTTAAGCATAAAATTTAATTAACCAATAAATAACTTACAATACAACAATACAACACTTATCATTCATGGTAATTACAATAGAGCAAAAGGTACAAAATTTTTAATTACTTTATGCGCCAAGGCACGTTTGATAAGGCACGTAACATGCATCAGAATGCACGCATTTATCAAAATTACAATTTACCTATTAATCTATTAAAAAATTAAAATTTTTGTTATTTCGAATTTAAATCTAACTCTTGAATTGCATAGTGAATGTCATCCGTGGAAACGTTCAATAAAATCTTTTGATATATATCGTTCCTGGAGTGTTCGCATATTAACAATCTATTGGCACCTAATCGTCCGCAAACAGCAAGTACTTCCGTTACACTCGGTATTTCAATGCCTGTAACATAGATGAGTGATCTTACCATGTTTTTTACTATCGTACCTTACTTAACCAAGATATGAACGAACCATCAAAAAAGCACAGCGATTCAAGCTGTTTGTACGCATCTTTAAAGTATACTTCTTCGATCGATGTCCGCACCACCTCTGCAGATACTGCTTGCAAAAACATTTTCTCCATTTTTGAACAATGTTTTATAGCCTGAACTTTTGCCGATGCGATCATTTCGGACACAGCCTGTGTTACATGTTGAAGAGATATCGTTTTGGCGTTTCGCGATTCCGCAATTTCCATAGCACGACGACATATGTCCAAAGCTCGTCGAGCATCTCCAGATACAGCAGACACTTTTCTAAAATAAAGCATTTATTTGTATCAAAATTTAATAAGTAATAATAATTTTCAATTTTCGTAAACAATCGCAATGCAGATATTATAATACCGCGAAACAAGTTGTACAGCTTCGCTTCTAAAATCATCAAAATCCTTAAGTCTAGACATTACTATTTCCTGTAACTGCTTGTAATTATAAGGCTGGAAAGTTAATCGTGTTAGGCCTAAACGCGACGTAACACGACCCATTAAAACTCTCTCAGGTAGATCCATAGTATTGGCTATAGTAATAACCACTAACTGCGCGGTTGACTTTGTTGGCCAATCTAATAAATTGTACACCACATCTTGACGTTTTGTGCACAAAAAGTCCAGCTACAACAACGATATACATATATGTATATTAACGATAAGTAACGATAATATTAACAGTATATGATAACAATTTTAAAAAGTCATACTTCATCCACAAGGAGTAATGTCATTTTAGATGTAGCTCTATCAAATCTTTTTTCAAGAATGCGGTACGCTTGCTCCCAAGTAGCTGTTTTATTATCCAGTTGCTTTAAAATTTGTACATAAGCTTGTCTCGGCTCTGTCAATTTCATGCCATTAATTGCAACATAATCAAAATCATCTAATCTGCCTTTTAGTGTCAATTTCTGCAAGCATCTGACAGCTTCATTTACAGTTGCTGTTTTACCTGTCCCTGGTACTCCACTTATATATATACATCTATAAACGTTTTCAATTTGTTAATCAAATCATTTTTAAGGATGGCTTTTTTTCAACATACCCTCCACTTTTATCTTCTAACTTTCCTCTAAGGAATGTAAAAATATTATTAAATTCCTCTTCTCTGCAAGGTAAAGACTTTGGTACAGCACTAACATGTAATCTAGATCTAGCTTCCTGTAATGGTGTAATTGGTTTTAATAGAGTACTATATCTTTTGCCCAATGATGGTGTTAAATTACTACATTTTACTGAACATGATTTTGGAGTACTCAAATGAGTCTCTTCCAGATATGACTCTCTACCTTTTTGTCGAGTATTATTTTTTTTTTGTGGCATTAAAATATTTTTCTTTGCAGATGAGATTTTAATGTGTTTGTACATTTCAACTAAACATTCTTCCTCTGTCCCACTGTTATTGTTATTATCAAATTGAACACTTGTTTGAATATCTCCAGAGATACACTTTTGCCTATCCACTTTGGTAGGAGTAACATTTTTAACTGCTGATGAGATTTTAATACGTTTATACATATCAGCTAGATATTCTTCCTTATCGTCATTGTCATTGTCATTAGTATGTTGAATATTTTTCTCTCTATCCTCACAAATCACCCTTTTTTGTTTATTTGATTTAGTGGGTGTACTGCCTGTAGATGTTAATATTAATAAATCTCCTTTCTTTGTTATTTCCTTTATTTCTGGTGCATGACTCAATTTATCATTTATACTACTCTCAGATTTAATGGACTTTTTCAATGCTTTTATTTTCACTATTGCAGAATCTGTGCCACTATCATTCCCATCTTTTACAGAAGGAATGCGATTCCTTTTGTTACTTTTTATATTTGAATTTACTGGTGTAAGTTCTGACTTGTGTTTATGTATAGAATTGTCTGAACGTTTATTTCCATGATGCCTCGTTAATTTCTTTTCTGCTTCCATATTTGACACAATATGGTTAATTAGTAACTTATCCTCATTATAATTAATGCTTTTTCTATTCCTCAAAGATGGTGAATTCGCTGGAGGACTTTTAACTAATGAATCACAATGGTAAGAAGAATATTTTATAGGTGCTCTTCTAATTCTACTACTTCTTAATACTTCATTCTGAATTTGATTCTCTGTCAATTTCTGAGCACTATCAGCTATAGTTTTCACAACACTGTCTATGTTATTAATAGATGATTCTTTACTTTTTACTTCTGAACAAATTTCCTTCTTTTGTCTTAAAACTGGATTATGAGATTTAAATATAGGTTTTTCATGATCAGCGTCTGCATAAATTTTATATAAACTCTGTTCTGTAGATCTTCTCAATTTGACTTTAAGAGAAGCTTTTTCTTTCTGTGAAACATTCCTTTTTGGTAATGAGTATTTACCATTGTGAAATACATTTTCTGTATCTGAGGACACATCTGAATCATCCTTTGTTGCAGTTTGGAACTTTAAACATTTCTTTTTCTTTAATTTATCTACTAAATACAGTTCTTGTTCTGAATCAGAATTTGATTGTGTATCAAGAATTGCTGCTATCTGATTCTCTGAACATTTACTCAATTTCGAAGCCATTTTAATGTTTTATTTCGAGTTTTGAACTTTATTAAAGAAATTACACTTTATTAAGAGTATCGCAATAAATATAATTGATTTATTTATTTTGTCGAATATAAAATATCAAAACAGTGTATTTTTTCTCAAGCTATACACTTTTTCACTTTTTTTTTTTTTGTGAGGTAAATTTAATATTATTCTTTGTCATAAACACAATTTTCTAACGCTACTGTTGTAATTGCAAAAAAAAAAGAGTACACTGTCACAGAGAACGTAAGTACATATGTACCGCCAATTTTCTTTCAAGCATGAACAATAAAGTTCTTTTGAATTGATTGCGTATGAATCTAATGTTCGAAACTTCAATGCTCTCTAGTGTCAATTACTAAGATTATCATCGGAATGCGTTCGACATTTTCCGTAACATATCCCGTTTAATTATTATTGGAGTTATATTTGTAGTTTTGATAAATTTCAATCTTATTCTAATATCATGGATGAAGATATGCGTACTGTTTGGTGTGGAAATTTAAGTGAAAAAGTAACAGAGGAGATTCTATACGAATTATTTTTACAGGTTTGTACAGTCGCGTAAATGTGTAAACAAATATTCGAGAAAATATTTCCAGTAAATATTTTCAGTAAAGTCAATATTCCAAAACGCAAATAATAATTTCTAAAAAAATTTCAACAATTCTTTTCTAATATTACTTTAATGTCGTACAATTTCACGTACCTTTTTATTTTAAGTGTTTAATTTAAGGTTACATGGTTGTAACGTAAATTACATTCCTTATTTTGAGAACATTATTCAATCTTACGTTCTGTTCAGCTACAAAAACAGATGTATTTTTAACGACGGAAAGTTTATTTTGAAATTTGATGAGTTAGTACTTTCACGAAAATTTTTTCTGCAATTGTTATAGGGTGGTCCCGTACAAAGAGTTTCTATTCCTAAAGATCGCGATGGCAAGCAAAGAGCATATGGATTCGTAACATATAAACATATTAATTCCGTAAAATATGCTTTAAATCTATTTCATGGTACAGTGCTATTTAATCGTCCTCTTAGTATGGGCCCAAGGAAAAATGTAGAATTGCCACAAATTACACAATCACAAGACCATGCTATTGATCTCAACTATAGGCTACAATTAGGACAGCAAATGGTATTAGGAAGTGATATGTCCCATTTGAGAATAGACCCATTTGGAATAAGTATGTTACCAAGCACAAATTCATACATGAAACAAACTCTTTCACATAAAGATGATAGAAGATCTCGACGAGTACATCCTTATCATAGAGAACAAAATAAAAGTAATAACCATCATAAAGATCACAGATCTAGAGATAGCCATAATAATCATAGGACAAATTATTATTCCAGACATGATTGTAAAAGTAATAATAGGCATAATTATCGTTAACATATTTAAAAATATAAGAGTAGGTAGAGCATATTAATAACTTTCATTGATATACTTGTAACAATGTTTTTCGTTCATATCAGTCAACATGCATTTATGAAATTCAAATATATTCTGATTTCGAAATTTTTATATGCATAGTAAAAAAAAATATATAATTTTATGATTTATTTTATAAGAAATGTGAATTAAAATTAATATTAAATAAAAGAATTGTATTCTTTGGTATGTTTTATTAATCATCAGGTATATAGTAATAGTTGTATGGTTTGTAACATTTTCTATTGTTTACGCGAATTTTTGTACTTTGTTTGATTATATGGGCAGCTTTTTCAGCAATCATTAGAACTGCAGCATTAATATTACCACTTGGTAAAGATGGAAGTACAGATGCGTCGATTACATATAAATTTTTGGTACGATAAACCCTATAAAAAATAAAAAAAAAAAATGATTCATACAATTCTTGTACAGAGAACAGAAGAATTTCACGTTTAAAATTGATAAATTACTTAAACGTTTGATCGACCACATCACCCATACGACATGTACCAGCGGGATGATACGAAGTTAAAGTTAAATGTTGTATGTAACATTCCCAATATTTTGTACTATCAAATGTTTCATTCTCACAACCAGGAAAATGTTTTTCATAAATAGATGCACCAACACTTTTCATAGCATTTGTTTCAACGAGTTTTTTCACAAATCGTAATCCTGTAAAATTTAATATTGGTGCAATTTTATTGTAAATAATGTAATATATTGTATAATATTCTTAAAGTACCATCTATGAGAATTGCAGTATCATCTTTATTTGATAAATAGTTCGGATCAATTAAAGGCGGATCAAAAGAGTCGCGACTGCTCAATTTGATTTCTCCTTTGCTTCTTGGATGTAATAAAACGGGGGCAATTGTTATTGTATTCTTGTGTGAAATGGGGAAAAAGTACTCATTATAAACCTACAAAGTAATACTTATAAAATTAATACTAAATAATGTTAACATGTAGCTCATATAACTTATGTAATTGTAGGTTTCTTTGTAATATACCTTTTCAGAAATTCCCATAGCTTTTTTTAGAACAACACCATTATCCTTTGATAATCCAAGTGGCATTACCATTATTTGTAAATCTGGTACATCAGATTTATTTTGTTGAAAAGAACTATGAAATGTTCCTAAAACTTCAACTCCTGTAAATGTCCAAGGTCCTAATAAAAAGCATACAATTGTTGATCTAAATAAGTTATGTGTATAGTATAAAATGTGACAATTAGTAATTTTCTGTTTTAAACAAATATTACCTTTCCCAAAAATAAAGTACTTTAATGCTGACATAGGGTTCAAAGTATCAATCATACTGAGACCTATGCTTACATTAAGCATAACTAAATCAATCCCAGTAAGAACATGATCTACTAAATGTTGACCAACTGGTAAATCATTAATTACGTTTATCTAAATAATATATAAATTATTACATCATTATGAAAAATAAGTGTATTCATACAAACTAATGTTTAAGAAATGAATTTTACTTTTAAATCTTGCAAGTGTTCTCTTGGTCCAATACCAGATAACATTAATATTTTTGGAGTACCAATTGTACCAGCACTTAGAACAACACCTTCTTTTGCAATTGCTTTAAATGTCTTATTTGATACAGTAAACTGTACCCCTACTGCTCTGTTTAATTCCATTAATACCTTTATGTAATTAATAGTAATACAGTTATCATTTTGAAAATTGGAATTATTATAAATTCAGCTTTAAACATACTTTCTGAACATGAGCATGAGTGATAATGGTTAAATTCTTCTTAATATGTTCACATAATAACTTGTCCGTACTCCACCGTTTCCCATTTTCTATAGACAACTGTGCTTTCATGAAACCTAAATCAACAGAATAATAAAGTAACAATATTTTTTTAGGTTTCTTATATTTACCAGTTTTTAAATTATCATTGATGTTGCCAATATCTTGATGCAATTCTTGCAGTCCTTTCAAAATGGTATCAGCAAGACCAGTATCCCATTTTAAATCACTTACACACATTGGTCCACCATTCTTTGTAGTGGGTTCTAAAAATGTTTTCAAACTACAAATTCACGGTTACAAATGCAAGGTAATAATATATTCTTAAAATTACCAGTAAAATCTGAAAGCCATTCATTATAATCTAAAGGATGTCCTCGAACATGAAGCATGTAATTTAATCGACTAGTTCCACCCAGAAGCTTACCCATTGGCCATTTACTTTGCTATAAACAAATTCTTAATAATGCATCTGACTAAATAGCATTTTATATCTAATTAAATAATATACATTGTTCTTTAAACCCTTGCAAGCATTTTGTTGAGGTACAGTAATGTATTGCCAGTCGTATGGGGTATTCTGAATTAGAGGAGCTAAAAGTGGAATATCCAAAAAAGGTGGTGCAACTCCTCCAGCTTCGAGCAATAATATTTTATATCCATATTCGGCCAGTCTCGTAGCTAAAGTCGCACCTGCCGTGCCAGCTCCAACTAAGTAGCAAAATGTTACTTTTAACTTTTAAAAGAACAAAATATTAACCAAGTTTATGTTCTTTTAATCCGTTTTATACATATACACAATTATATTTAACATGTTCGTTATAAAATGTATAAAATATATATGCACATAAACACACTTACCAACGATAAAATCGTACAATTGAAAATCATTAATGTTAAAAAACCACTGCTTGTAAATATCAAAGTAGTATACGAAATTAAGATAACTGGAAAACAGCAGTACCGTTAAAACAGTGACACTAAATATGATAAATTGTGAAAACGCAAACATTTTAATAGCATTTGAAAATTGAGGTTAAGGTACGTTTATGCTAAATTTTCTTTGCCTCAAAGATGTTACCTGGAAACAATAAAGCGATAAAGCTACTTTAATCCGAGAACCCATGAAAGCATATATAGAAAATGATAAACGCACGCACGAGCATTAGTAACTTATTTTATTGTCAGTAGCATGTAAACGATTTTTTATAGCGATTTCAAATGTATTTAATGCATAGAGAAGAGGTGGTAAAGAGTATAGGACTTTTTTAAAAGAATATAAAAAGTTTATTCAAAATTTCATTGTATACATAATTAAGGCATGCACTCTGTTGCAACAGCAATCGGCCACGTAACAGGACCCTTTAATATAATATCTTCTAACAATGATTTAATTTTCACGAATCTCCGTTTAAATTCTAGACCACAGCCTTTGGACAATCGAAAATCAACTAATATCTTTCCGTCCATTTCAACAATATTTGCTTTAAAAACCAAAGGCATTTTCCTTCTATCCACAGTCGATATGGTAATCTATGAAGATAATCATATAGTTTATTAAATTATTTATAACTTTAATCGATATTATATGATAATTTGAATTTGAATTATAGCTTTGCTACTTACCGTGCCAAAATTATTGATACGATACGTGTAACTTTCATTTTTCAAACAATTTACTAATCTTTTCACGGTTGTCTCTAATTCCGTTTTAACAAAAAATCTTGTCATTCGTCGCACCAGCCGTTGGAATGTATTTTGCTATAAATGTAAAATTAAGTAATGAGTAATAATATATAAATTGTTAGTAATTTTAATTTTTGTAAATCAGTAATTATAACAAAATGTTACACACTACCTGGCTTGCTTGAGTAAATTGTTTGGTTTGTACTTGAGTACATAATAATAAATCTTCTATATGCGCAGGTTGTGAGAACGAAAATCCGGGTCTTTCTTCCAAATTAATTTGTTCTGCATTATCATATTCAACTCCAGTTAATTCAGGTTGTGATAAACAAAATCTTGTTAAGTTCTCATCTTCTAATACTTGTCTTGAATCGGTCTCGTCAGGTCGAATGTATCCTTCTATGCTTCCAGCTATTATAAAACAATGTTCAAACTTTATTGGTTTCAGTATTTAAATTTACTTACTATGTATATGCTTTCAGCAGCATTCTAAATTATACTATAGAAAAACATAGAATAATAATAACCATTGAGAATATTAATTTTCATGTCAATTAAAATCTTTGATTTTTAATTTTGTTGCATATGCCAGTGCTCTTTGCTTTGGTAATCTAGCTTTATGATCCTTAATGAAAATCATAGAGCTGTATTACCAAAGTAAAGGCAAAAGCTTTGATAATCTTGAAAATTATAACTTTGTATTATAATTTATTTATTTAATGTGTAATAACATTTAAGACAAAGTTTTTACATACTTACAAGTATTTCAAACGCTTGTTGTATTTAGTATCCACTCAGTTAGGTACCAAGCTGCTTTGAGTAATTTTATACGTACTCAGAGTCACTCAGTACCTGACTAAGTAAATGCTTTCTCAATTATATCCATTGGGACTTTGTAAAAAATATTAAATATCCAAGAATAACACAATTTTGTATGTACAAATTGATACATGCCTTTCTGGAATTTCTTGATGAACCATCTGTGTTGCTTAATATCCTTTATGGTACATCTGGATGATGGTGAGTGCATAAGAATATTTTTAATCAGAGATAATGAAGAATTATCCAACTTTTTCCATGGTGTAAGAGACATGTATTTTCCATCTCTCCATGCCATATATTCTGGACACTCTGCCAAGGACTGATCCCAAGGCAGTTCTACAGTTTAGATATGGACCAGTTAAAAACTAAGAAATGTAAGTTATGCATTAGACCTAAACCATCAGACTAAAGATTGCAGTGGTCTGCATTTTACAAATACAATTATCACCAGTGATTATCATCAATGTCATCAATTTACATAATATATTTATGATTACGTTTGAATAGTTAAATGGTATTATAAACTTGTTTGCATAGTTTTTCATTATAATTCTCTATCTATTCAAATTTGTTGTTGAGACAAAACAAGTAAGACCATACATCAGCAGGTTCAGCATGATAGGGACGCAATAATACTTCTGGAGCAACATATGGTAATGTTCCACATCTCCTTTCTAAACAACGTTCCTTGCCTTGTAACCGGTATATTGTTGCCAATCCAAAATCAGAAACTTTCAAATTGTCATGTTCATCTAATAGTAAATTTTCTGGTTTTAAATCTCTGTGTGCAACACCTTTACTGTGAAGATATTCTACTGCAGATATTAACTGTTTGAAATACTTCTGTGCTTCCCATGCTGGCATACCAACATCTGGTTCTATTTTAAAGTAAAAGAAAATCCTTTAACAATAATATAATTTTTGAGGTCTAATTTCAAAGAAACCTTACCAATTCTATCAAAAAGTTCTCCACCTGATGCATACTCCAAAAATATATATTCCATATTAGGCTCACTACGTTTTCCAAAATATTGTATAATGTTAGGGTTAGAGAACATACGGTGAATTGTAGTTTCTTTACGGACAGTTTGTCGGGCATCTGGATGCTTTTCTAAATCTACCATTTTCATAGCAACAGCCTCACCTGTAGACTTATTTATAACTAGCTTTACCCTGAAAGGAAAAATTAATTTTTTGCATTTTTTTTTACAATTTTTTTTTTTAATTTGAAGGTTCAAATATGACGTAATAATAAATAAAATAACTATAATACATTGGTATTTTAAGTTTCTTGGTATCAAATTTACTTAAGGCTTAACATACCTCATAAAAAAAAAATTTCAATCGAAAAATAGCAAGAGAAAAGTTAATCTATTGAAGTATTAATTATATAAATTAAAAACACATAAACATACTCGCCATAAGCCCCTTCTCCTAAAGTGTGTCCAAATATCCAGCCATCTACGAATTCCGTCATCCTGCTTCAGCATGCCTCTCTACGATGGTGGCAGGAATCTTTGTTCTCTAATTGATGTTTCCTCAACAACCGGTTATTTAATGTAGTCACCTCCTCTATGAGAAGAAAAACTATTAAAATAGTTAACATAAATAAAAAGCAACAATATTATCTTGATAAAATGCTCACATTATGTATCATTTTTCATAAAAACGATCGGACTTTCGGAGCACGTGGTTTTAATCGCATCGACGAAACATCGTGCTTTCGATCGAACCGAACGTGATATGATGACAAGTTACATTTAAAAGCGCTTATTCGTATAATTAATAAATCTTTTTCTTAAATTACGCTTTATTAATCTCGTGAACACTGCAACCGTAGTAGAAAGCAACTATAATTTAAAGTACTTCCTTCCCGAAATTGCAAAAATTACTGTTGCGGAACAAGTTATAAGTTATATGAGAGGTATTCATCTCTGGAAAACGATGAACCACGCACTCTGGAATTTCTGGGTATGAAATTACTGCATTCTCATTGGTCGAATAGATATTTAAAGAGCTTTAAAGTCCCTGCTTCTTAAATGTTTAGTTAAATATCAAGTCTAAATGTAAATTCAGCATACATATACCCTTGAAAAGAAGATTAGTTTCAATATTAGTAATTATTAGTAATTATCAATATTCAAAATGTAATTGAAATTTGAATTGCATTTGTAACTTAAAAACGTTATACATACCACTTATTATATATTTTAACAAAAATACATATCTTTTAATGCCTTTGAAATTCCTACTCAATAATTTCATTTAATAATTTAACCACAAAGAACACGTTTTCGTTAAATTAGTATTTCTATTCAGAAGATCCATACTAAATGAATTATGTACATATTGTCTGGCAAACTTAAGGCTTCTGACGTCATCGCCTGACTCATAAGCGGAAAATAAGCGGTCAAGTCATCCCCACTACTCTTCGGTCTCTCACTGTCGCCGCTTGAGGAGAAGTTGCGATTTAGATAAATGGTTTTTAGGCAAAGATTCAACAATCAGCTGTCGATAATGTAACACAGAGAAACATTAGAAATCACGCAGTTATTGATTGGAAGAATTTGATTTGTGGATTCTAAGAAAGATCAGAGGGATTGTTTTGCTCAGTCTGCCGTTAGCGTTCAAAGAAGAAGGTTTGATAGTATCACCGAGAGCATCGTCAGAAATGAAATATTATCAATCAAGTTAGTTGATTGTTAAAACAGAAATTCTTTGAATTTTTCCCTTTTAATAATAATTATTGTAAATTAGAGCATAATTGCACGTAGTAAGCAAGAAAAAATTCAAAAAATTTCTGCTTTAAAAATCAACTAACCTGATAATACTTCATTTCTAACGATGCTCTCGATGGTGCTCAGGACCCGTCCGCTTTGAACGCTGACGGCAGACTGACCAGAACAATCACTGTGATCTTTCTTAGAACCCCCAAATTAAACTCTTCCAGTCAAAGTCTGCGTGATTTCAAATATTCCTCCCGTTTAAGTACCATTCGATTTAAAGTATAGAGCTTACGAAAATGTTTTCAAGCCGCGTTAACAATTATTTAGAACAATTGTTGCTAAGGTACTCCTTACCAGACTTTAAAATTGAGAAAATTCCAATTAATTAAGTACTATTTGATTACTACTGAATTCTTCTTACTTCACAGTCTGCTAAAGGTCCACTTTATTCTTCAATACTAAAAGTTCATAAATTTATCGTAAATAATGAGTTATGTACATTAAATACTATAATTCATGGGCATAGACTACACTACTTTAACAAAAATAAAAAATTTTTATTTTTAAAATATTGATTATTAGCTTAGATTTTTTGTACATATTTTTATTTATTAAATTTATCTTATTACATATGATGTTGTAGCTAATATTGTAAAATTGTGATATTGTAGATTACAAAAGAAACAGAATAAATTTACAATTGCAATATATGAATCATTATGAAACATTTTTATAAAAGACCTTGTCTTTTTAAGTCTTCGTATGTTTTTCGATTAACAACATTTCCAAGGGAATCTTCGAATTCTTCTTCTTGCTCTGGTTGCCAACGTTCTGCTTGTTTCTGGGCTTTTAATTTTTCCCATAAAGCCAGAGCATCCTCTATTTGTGTCACATTAGCAAAATGTGCAGTATTTGGGATACCAAGACAACGCATACCATGGGCATGTCTCCATTCGGCGAAATGCCTTTGGAAAGCTTTTGGTCCTTTATATGTAAAATTTCCACATATTTCGCAATTATAACTAATATTCAAGCCATGTAATTTATACAACCAATATGGTATAGGTTTACCATCCCAACCAAGAGGTAAATTTTTTGGATTATAAGGGACTTCATTATCATCTTCTTCTTCTGATTCACTAGCACTTGCTTCAGCATCAGAATCTCCTCTCTCACCTTCTGTCCTAGCTTGCTTTCTTTGAACATTTTCTTTTGTGGCTACACGTTGAGTTGACACCAATTCTGCAAGTCTATATACCTGAGCTTCTAAACAAGCAATTTCTCTTTGCTTTTCAGAATTTCTACCTTTTCCAGATTTTCTATTTCTATTATTTTTAGCTAATAAATTTGGATCCAAAGATGCTTCTCCTTTTGTGCTAAAGAGCCTTTGAGCTCTTTCCTCCAATGTACCACCACATTTTAAACCTAAAGCCATTAAGGCTGATTTTAATCTATCTAAACCAAGAGATGCAAGCTCTTCCCAGGAAGAGAAAGCAGAAAGTTCTAAATGAGCTCCCACATGAGTTAAAGCACTACCAGTTTCTTTTGGCCAGCCTGGAAATGTACTATTTTCCCATTGAGTTTCAAACTCTTTATTTGCTTCCTCCAACTCTGCATTTATGTCAAGTAGTGGTCTAACTCTACTCAAGTAATCCGTTGAATACTCTAACAAAGATTCTACATATTTTTGGTATTCTGCATTTTTTCTTTCCCTTGGTATGTCAAACAAATGGTCAAAAGTTGATAAATATGTAATGTAATCTATTTTTTCTATCCCTTTAAGATTGATATATTTTTCATAGCATTCATGGAGATCAAGATATTTTCCATAACCTTCTTCATCTGTGAATTCAACAAGATTTGAAAGCTCTTCTGTAGGGTTTTCTCTCATTTTTGCTAGTTCTTCAAATTCCACAGACATTGGAATACTTATTTCATTGGGATGTCGTCGATAAAACTCTTTTATAGATTTCAATCGGGAATAAAATTCTGAAAATTCATTTGGTCCAGAAAGTGCTTGTACCTGCACAATAAAAACTTACATGATTAAATTGTAAATAAGATGTAATGTATTCAACGTACCTCTTCCTTTCGTTGTCCATCCTTATCCTCGTATAAATCCTGCAAATGCGAAGTACTGTCCATATACTGATCGAGTAACATTTTTAATCGATGTTCCGAATTAATACTTTCTCTATGTCCGGGCTTTTTGTAAAGCATTTCTTTAACCATCGCATCCATTAATCTTTCCCTTTCTTCATGGTAACGTCGTTGCTGTTCTAATATCGTTTCCATTTTTCTGATTTATATATATTTAAAGCAATGTTTACGATTTGTTTGTCGATTAAATCGAAATTATAACACGATTCAACATAGATGCGACTACAAAGAAAATGTGACTACAAAAAAAATAGTGTCACCATCTTGCGACAACTATAGAAAGCAATATGGGGAATTTAAGCAATGAAAATTACACAATTTAAACAATACATCCATATATTTCAAACTTAACAATGTCAATTGTTTTATTATAAAGTACAATATGGTTCTGTATACTTTGTCATTACGTAGAACGTTCCTGTGGCGATTTCTTCAGGTGTATCTAATCCAGGATGCGAGCAAACAGTTGGATTACATTCTTTCCAATTTAAAATTGACCTGGAATAAGTTGTGCCAATGCATGTGTAAAAAATAGTAATGAAATGAGTAAAAAAATTAAACATAGATTTACTCACTCATATCCGACTTCCCAGAAAGTTCCTATAAAACATGGTGAATATAGGAAAGTCATCGTAAGATACATTACGGCCCTACTGTGAGAACAAACTGTAAATATACCTATAATCGAAAAAGATTATACGTTCCTTTTATCAAAAAATAAGTGTACTCGTTTATATGTCAATAATACACGTACATCCGGGTTGTGAGTTACCACCATTAAAATAAAAATCATCAACACCAATTGCATCGTGTATTCCCGCCAAATACGATGTGTGAAATATTTGTACAAACGCGGCGTCTGATTTACAAAGTCGGTTAGCACAATCTTTATTCGCAAATTTAGGCCCTGCAGGATCGAGACCAATAATCTGCTTGTATTTTTGCTTAAATACATCTTGTACACTTTTCCCAGAAAATCCAGCTACGTGGGCACCAAGGCTGTGCCCGACAACCACAATTTCGTTCACTTTTACTCCATATTCTTGTACTAATTTAACGGTAAAGCTATGAAATTTATATCGTTCATGAATCATTTGATAAAATCAGAGGAATAAATAATATTTCGAAATTACTTAGTCAAATATCTGCTAACAGCAGGAACATTATCAACAGCGCTACCGTAAACGAATAAATCTGCGAGACTAAGGCTACCACGACAAGCTGCATCCGACCAATCTAATGAAAAAATATTTATGTCGTCCTAAAGGAAATTTTTATAATTAGGAGATAATAGTACGAGTAAATTTTTTCATAGAATTTTTAGATTTTTTACTTTTTTCAACCAAGCTGTGACTAACTCGAAGTAATTCGAATTATTAGCTTCAGAAATAAAACCATGTATAAGAAATGCGACTTTCTTGTTAATGTGTATAGGTATATATTCATCGTTCATACGAACCTCCTCTCCATAAGGTTTATTTCTGCAAGATTAATACTTATATTAAATAACAAACAAAATTGTAAAGTAACAGTGGTGATGACATGTAGTTAGAAGTATTTCTTAGTCTATACGACCTCGTATATAAAAAATACGATACAGATTCAACCCCAAAAACGCAAGCTGGAATTATGTTTGTGATGATGCTATTTTCTTGAGAGTCTAAGTTGTCACAATCTAAAAATAAATTATTGTCTGTTATTTTTTATCATAATAAAACCTATTTATCTTTAATATTTTACCTGCGTAACAGAAATAAGTTTGTTGTAAAATAAATAATACTGTAGTAATAATTTTCACTGAAATACTCTTAGTATTCATTTTTCGTAAAATATTATTCCGTCAAACTATACCTTTCTGCTTTTTTACCCTTAAAATATCATCATCACAATGAGTTTCTAACGCATTCTAGATGTGTATATATACCTGCGCTCCTAATGCAAGTATACTTAATTGCAATTAAATAAATGCCTACGTGGAAAACAACTTGATTGATATCCATGATAACGATGATGTTTCTGTTGAGATAGAAAAAGATAAGGTACTTTTACGACTTAACGATGTTTATAGACGGAATATACGAAGATTATTCGTAAACTTTCAAAACTTTAAACCTTGAATTTTAATTTCAATTTTTGTGAAATCGATAAGTTTTAATGTGACTATTCATACAATTGAGAATACAAATTTTATTATCCTATTTCCCTATCTATATTTTTTTTTGTCTAGTCACTTTGTATTTTATATGTACATAATATACCAAATAAAGATAATTTGTAATTTGCGCATTTCTATGACTCATCTATACATATACATACGAAGCACGTATTTATATGTGTGCGTTGTACGTCAGTAACACATATAAGGTAGTCAATGTTTGAAAGAGTTGAAACAAATCAGGTTAAGGAAATAAGTATAAATTTAATTTAAAAAAAATCTATAACATATACAAGCTTTACTACAGTTTTATTCTTTGGTAATAAAAAGTTGCTGTACGGTTTGTGAAAAAACGTGTTACAACACGTTACGTTTCTAACATGGTACGTTATTAAAACGAAAAGTTATGATTTATGACGATTGTATTATACATTTTACATATTAAGAAAATTGCATTTGTTTATTAATTGTAGTAAATTGTGTTTTAATGTTTCAATTGCAGTCGGATATTTTTATGTATGCAATGTAACCTCGTTATCACATTTTCATAGATATCTTTTGTTTTTATTTTTAGATGGATATGACGGAAATTCAAAAAAATCTAAAAACAGAGATAGACAAATACAAACAAGCTCAAAAAGGTATTTTATTTATTTTTGTATATAAAACACTTGCTTTATACAATATACATTATGCAATTGCAATTAATTAACTGTCTTCTTACACATAGATTCTGTTTGTATCAGATCACTACAAAGCATTGAGTCAAAGGCAACAGCTGGATGGGCAATTAAATGAAAATATTGCAGTTAAAAAAGAATTAGACATTTTGAAATCAGAAGACGATGTTTTTAAACTAATAGGACCAGTTCTCATTAAGCAGGACCTAGAAGAAGCAAAACAAAATGTTGCTAAACGTATGGAATACATCTCCTCTGAATTGTAAGTTATTAGATAATAACAGATACATGTATAAAAGATTCCTGAATTATTACTAATTATTCTATCAATATTAGGAAACGAGTGGAAGAATCAATAATTTCATTGGATAAGAAGCAGGACACCCATCGTGAAACATTGGAAAAATATCAACATATGTTTCAGCAAGCTCAAGTGAAAGCTTCATTTTCTCAAGCCAAGGCATAATTACACATACAAAATTTGAAAGGATTACAGTGTTGTCAGTTTGTTATATCAATGTCAAAATAAAAAAAGAACATATGAACATGAATGTCATTATTCCCATTTCTGATTAAATTTGTTAATAAATTTCTTGTGAAGCTTTTATCGATTTATTTACTCAACTACAAACCTGTACTTTGAAAGTAATTTAAACTATACTATTTCAAGTAAAATCATTTAACCTAGTATTTCTAACCATATTAAATGGTATAATTTTAACTAACTGATAGTTTATATGAGATATATTTGTATAAATTACAATATTATTATGTGAAATAAAATTAACTTAACATGAAGGAGTCTAGTAACTTAAATGATTTTTATTCTGCATAATATGTTCAGATAAATACATATATATGTATATACAATGTACAATGACATGATCGTAAATATGGTTGCCTCCCAACCGTAGAATCGGGAACTTTGTTATCTCTATGTAGAATGTAAAAAAAAATCAACTATTGATGTATTGTATCGTTTTATAGAAAATAAAATAATGTTATTAACATTAAAACCGGAGCATAAGAAACATGTATTGCTACTTACAGAGCATACACCGCAAGGTGTGTAAAATCATTGTCATTTATGTCACTGATTTGTTTCGTTATAAAAAGTAATAATCTTATATTTTCTTCAGTTTTGCAGGACTTTTGTAAATTGGCGTTAGATTATTTGCAAAAAGGGCCAAATATTAAATTATACAATGCAGCGGCTCGTAAGTAAAAATTGCTCTATATTAATAATTAATCTCTGATACTAATAACGCTTTATTTCTTTCAGAAAAATTGGAGGTTGACGTGAGTATAATTAAGAATTCAGTGGAAGGAGTTGTTAATTTATTACTAGAAGCTTGTAGATATAAGGTACGATACAAATTTTATTTTGCTTGTGTATGTTACTGGTAATGTATGAAATGTCATATAACTATAATTTATTTTTTGCAGTTAAGTTCAGAGGACTTTAGAGATTCTATAATATCCTTAGGTTTTTCAGAACAACAAGAAATAATATTAAGCAAATTGTATAATGTGAAAAAGGACGAAATATTGGATACACTTACAAATATTGGATTTAAGTTGCCAGAATATCATGATATGGAATGGAGATTTGAAGTTCAGGTGAGGTACTATTTTATTGTTGAACATTA